TCTGTGTCCCCTCAGGCTGCTCTCACCTGCTTCCCTGTCAGAGCTCACAAATGTTACCCGTGCACGGCTGTGGTCCAGTGGGTTCAACTTGTTCCTCATGCATGAATGCAGCTGGAACAGTCGGCTCTACAGCAGTGAGTGGGAAAGTTCTGGTGATGAAGAGAGTCCAGTCATCAGTCAGTCTGTCTGTCAGTCTGTAGACCACTACAACAGTGAGTGGTTCTGGTGATGAAGAGAGTCCAGTCATCAGTCAGTCTGTCTGTCAGTCTGTAGCACAGACCACAACATCTAAAACATCACATGTAGCTGTAACCTGGACTTTAAAGAAACTGCATTTTTTTATATTTTGGATTTTTTTTTGTAAGTAAAAAAAGTTCAATAAACTGAAACAGGTCAGTATTTCCCATGGGTCAGTTGCAGAACTGACTCATCTGATTTCACCAGACTTTTGGTTGTGGACTTAGGTGACTGAATGAGGTTCCTCTAGGGCTCAAACACAGGACCTTCTGCGTGGACAGTAATTTGTAAGGCAGACGCGATAACCACTACACCATAGAACCATTCGACCAAACAAACAACACTGAGAAATGAGTCTTATATATTAAACACACACACATACACACACACACACACACACACTCTGGTCCAGTTCACTCTGACTAAACCCAGATTCACACGACACAGAGAGAACGTTCAACCCAGACAAACACACAATCCAAAATGAGTAATTGTTCAACACTTTTCTTCCCGATAGCGCTGACTTCCAGCGATATCCAATCAGGAGATGGATGACTCTGTAATTCGTTCATGAAACTGAATCACGCCGCGGCCTAGAGCCACGTTTCAAATCACATCAGCTCCTTCAGTCGGCTTCAGGTGTTGAAGCTGTGCAAAAAGGCACGGACGAGGAGGAAAGTCACAGCATCAAATGTCTGAGCAGAAATACGATCAACCAAAGTTCTGCTTCCAGGTGAGAGTGAGCGGAATGATGTGATCCAATATGTCCTCCACGTCCAGACAGACGAGGGACAGTACTGACGGATTCCCACAAGGCTTTCTGAAACCGTCCACGGTTCAGTGTAAGAAAACAAATCATGAAGAGAATGTTAGCAAACAAATAGTAATCAGAATTAGCAACAATTATGAGCAGGCGGACGAAGCTTTAGCTCGAGGCTAACTGCTACGTTATTAAACTTTTGGTTTTGGTAAAAGATATGGCAGAAAAAAATGAACTTGACATTTTTACAACACGGGAAGATTGTTTTTTTAAGTCTTTAGTTGCAGCTAATTTAAAGAGGTTCAGTGTTTTCTGGGTCTTTGATTGGATGTTTTGGTCCCTGTGTTGAATCATTAGATCATTAGAGTCATGTCTATATATGTAACACTGAGGCCAACACCGAGGCAGCGTCTGCTCAGCATGGACGTGACATCAGGCCACGAGAAAGTTTGGTGAACACTGATTAAAGAGCAGCACGGACGGTGGTGAACTTTCTTTTCACTGCACCAATTATCCTGAGTGTCATTTGGCATTTCCATTGGCCAGAAGAACACAATGGAGAGAAGATGATATGGAACGGACCCAAAACAGGGCAGAATATAAAAAAGACAAATATCTGCAGTTTAGAAGTGTTTTAGGGAGCAACAAATCAAACCGTGTGTAGTTTAAAAAACAAAGCAACATGT